ATCAGTTTGAGCCCGATTGAGAAGCAGAGGGAATTAGTGAAGAGGATCGTGCAGAACCTGGGCAAGCACGGCTTTTAATGGTAGGCCTATGTTTTTTGTTTGTTGTGGTCTCATACTTTTAGATATGCTGTTATTTGTAAAAGCTACTGCTTATGTTAGCTTTTAATATACGGTTTTATCTTGATTAAAGCTTTAATACAGTACGGCAACTGCACGCTTATGCAGGCCATGTTTAACGCTTCTCATAGCTATGTGAAAATAAGTGTGTAAATGGAACAGAGCTGAGCTGATGATCTGAATGCAAGAGAGAGAGATGCAGAGTGTGTGCAGAGCAGGGGGACGCGAGGAACAGTATTGAGAACTGCTGCTTTTGAAACTTGTGAATCCATTAGAATCGTTAGAAGGCAGAATCGCAATTCATATATGAATCGATTATTTTGACGTGCACCCCTAGTTTTCGCTTCCTCTTCTCTAAAGCAGCGCAGCATGGCCTCGCCCCCTTTGCTGCCTTTTGCCGGGGGCGGGGTTTATCTGGGTTTGTGATGTCACGAACCCGGGAAGTAACTCATTGTAGTCCCTACCAGCCATTTTTGTAGGCATTAAACTGCCGGAATTTTAAAAGACGATATCTCCGTTTGCATTGAACTTTCAGCTTCGTAACTTTGCAGATATTGTTTATGCTCAAACAGCAACATTAGACACTAACTAACGTTAAAAAATTTAAATCGCAATGAACCACCCCTCTAAATGACCGTAAAGAGCTTGGAGAAAATAGGATGTGTGTCAGATCCGCGTCATCAGGTTTTAAAGAGACTGCGCTGCTTTTAAAGTAAAACCCGCTAAAGTCTGTCATTGATGTAAATCAAAGAACAAAAGAAAAAGAGAAATCACTGGACTGCTCTAGTCGCTGATTAATAAAGTTTAATCTGTATAGTTTATGCATATACAATTTATAGTTTATGTGAAGATTGAAATATTAAGTGATTTTAAAACAGAGTATGTTAAAAAATAATGGCTTTCAATTATACTGTAATGTTGAATGGCTATAATTAATAGGTAAAATTGAGGGAAAATGCATTTAATAGAGACACCAGTAGCAGTATTGGTTTCAATCCTTCATTAATAATAGGCTACTTAGTAAAAAGATGGCATTAAAAACATATTTAAAATATACTATCTTTATGTTGTTTCTACATTAATTTGGAGGCTCAATGTGAAATTATGATAATATAAATGTGATTAATCATGATTAATTACAAAAACACTTGATTTTTTTTTTTTAATCGATTGACAAAGCACTAATGTTAACCTTTTATAGATTTTAGATTTCAATTTAA